CCCACCATGAACGGCCCAACACCGCCCTTTCCAGATCCGCCAGCATAGGAACACCACATCCGAAATCTGTACTTTAGACAAGTTAGAGGAGAAAAGCAATGTCTTCCATGCATCTTCCATTTGCAGGTCCTCCAACCGGTCCCGAATTCACTCGAACCCAGCCAATTCCCAGAGGGGGCGGGCTGCCCTACACTGAAACAGAAAGTGGTTAAATGTCTCCGGTCCGTTCGAGCAAACCGGGCAGATGTCATTCGCCACAAGTGTTTTTCGCGGGAGGACTGTTTGGATAGCGAGAAACCGCCGAACCAGGCGCCAGAAGAAGAACTTGAGCTTCGGGGGAACTGGGAGGTTCCATAGTACCTTCCAGAACCTGCGATCAAACGGAAGAACATCAGGGGGGTGTCGAGCAGTTCGTTCGTAAGTAAATGATACCCTGTCTTAACCGTGTACTCCCCTGTGTGAGAATAATGCCAAATCATACGGTCTGCTGTGGGATGGAGGGATAGTGGAATACTCAATATGGCCTGTACAGACTCCTCGGTGAATAGACCAGTAAGCAGATCCCGTTTCCAGGTTCTAGTCTCACTGCAGATTAAGTCGGCTACCCTGAGGGGAACTGAATGAATCCCCGGTAAGACACTCGGCCCCGACGACGGGGTGGTTGGCAGCCACCTATCCTCCATCGTCCGAACATGTTGCCCCGACCCGATCTGCCACCGCAGCCCACGCTTGAGAAGATTGCGCCCTTCTAGTACTCCTTGCCATGCCCATGAGGCTCGATAGCCTACTTCCGCATCCAGGAAATGATGATGAGGATGGTATCTCGCTTTATAGATCGCCCCAAGGCTCCCTTCTGGGTTAAGTAATATACGCCAAGCCTGCTTAGCAAGGAGAGCAACATTAAACCGGTCAAAGTCCCTGAAGCCAAGGCCCCCATCAAACTTGCTCTGACAAATAGCCTGCCAAGACAGCCATCGAATCCCGTTCTCTCTATCCTGTCCTAACCACCAAAATTTAGATAGGAGACTGTTGCACCGCCAACAAGTCGTGGATGGCAGCCGGAAAGCCGACATTGCATACACCGGCCCTGCTGCCCCAACCGCCTTAATCACCACCTCTTTCCCAGCCAAGGAAAGTGACTTAGTCTTCCAATTCCGGATCCGGGCAGCCAAGGCTTCTTCCACGAACTGGAATGTCAAAGTCTTCGAGCGATGAACCTGCGAGGGGAGCCCAAGGTATTTGTCGCCCACCCCCATCTGCCCCACGCCAAGGAAGGAAGTGAGGCCCGCTAGCTCCTCTGGAGTCACATTAGCACTCACACACATGGATGACTTGTGCAGATTGACTTTTTGTCCGCTGATGACCTCATACTCATTGAAAATATGAAGAAGATTAGCACATTCCGGTAAGGAAGCTCGAATGAAAAGATAAGTATCATCAGCAAACATGAGGTGTGAAGTAATGGGAGCCCTTCTATGAACTCGAAGACCATGGAGAGAGTTGACCGAGATTTCATGGAGTAACTTGGCCGTAAATGCCTCAGTGTATAAAGCAAATAGTAAGGGAGAGAGGGGATCACCTTGTCGGATTCCGCGCTCAGGTTGAAAGTACCCATACTCTACCCCGTTCATGAGCACTGAAAACTGGACAGTGGATATGCAAGAGCGAATCCACCTCGTCCAAGTCGGGGAAAACCCCATGGCTGTCAGGATCTGTAGTAGGAATGCCCACTCAACCCGGTCGTATGCCTTCTCCATATCAAGCTTAAGCGCCATCCATTTGTCTTTACCCTGCACTTTGGTTTTCAGGAACTGCATGATTTCTTGAGCAATCAAAATGTTATCAGATATGGATCGACCCTTTATAAAACCATTCTGACAAGAACTTATAATATCAGGAAGAATTAAACTCAACCTAGCAGATAAAATTTTTGCAATGATTTTATACAAAACCTGGCAAAGACTTATGGGTCGCATTTGCCTCATCGAGTCCGCATGTGCCACCTTAGGAATAAGAGCAATCCAAGTGTGGTTGATGCTCTGCAGAAGACGCCCGGAACTGAAGAAGGAGATGACTGCTGCGCATACATCCTTCTCCACCTCTGGCCAGAAGCGTTGGTAAAATGCCCCTGTGAACCCGTCGGACCCGGGAGCCTGAGATTTCCCAATGGCGAAGACTGCCCTCCGGATTTCCTCGAGTAAGACCGGGGCTGTGAGGGACGCATTGGCCTCAGGGGTAACCAAACGCGGGAAGTGCAGATTGGACACATACTCCGTCGGATCCGTCCCCGTGGAAGTGAAGAGGACTTTGTAAAAATCCACCGCAATGCCCCCTTTCTCGTCTTCAAGGGAGTGGGGAACTCCGTTGTCGTCTTTTAATGTGGGGATGGAGTTGAACCTCCGTCGGTGAATTAAGGAAAGATGGAAACAGCGGGAGTTCGAGTCGCCGGTTTTGAGCCACCCCACCCTGGACTTCTGCTTCCAATACACCTCCTCTTGCCTGTACGCCTCCCCCAACTGGATTTCCAGTCCCTTAATTTGTTCCCAATCCACCTCCAACCTCTCTTTTGCCTCCTCTATGCTGGATTTGAGTGCATATATCTGCCTGGCCGAGTTGGAGGTGCCGCGCCGTGCCCATTCTACAAGTCCATGCCGGAGATTCTTTAGCATCGACTGCAGCCGGAATTGCGTTGTGCCATGGACCACCTGTCCCCACGCTGCTCGGAGAATCCCAGGCACTTCAGCGTTAGTGTCCCATCTCATGTCGTACTTAAAATGCCTCCGCGAACAGGCTGCCGGTTTGGTGAAATGCACTAGCATGATCCGGTGGTCAGACCCAATATCCGATAGCGAACGTACCTGCAGGTCAGGCCACAAAGACAGCACTTGGGGGTTAGCAAGGCATCTATCCAGCCGTTCTAAAATGTGACGATCACCTGACTGGCGGTTTGACCAAGTGAACAATGGCCCGGCGCATCCTAAGTCAATCAAGTTAGAGAAGAGGAGGAAATCCCCCAATTGATCAAAAGCAGCCGGGGGTAGAGCACGTCCCCCTTGCTTCTCAGCCGAGGAAAGCAAGCAGTTAAAATCACCCACAATGAAGGAGGGGAGAGCACAAGACAAAACAAAATTAGAAATTTCATTCAGTTCCAATTGCCTACTATTTACATCACAGCTGAGATGCACAAAGACTACTACGAACCTGCCTAGAGAAGGATGAACACATTCAACGATGAGATAAGCATAGGAGGAATCTAAAACTGTACAAGACACTAAATCCGACCAGCCAACTGCTAGGCCACCTCCCCTGTTAATACCATGGAAGGCCCGCACATTAGAGAAACCTAAGCTATGAAATTGCCCTACAACGAACTCGTCATCTCGCCGAGTCTCACTAAGAAATGTGAGAAATGGGAAGAAGCGACGAGTGGCTTCCCGAAGCGATGGGACTGTCAGGAGGGAGCCTAGACCCCGACAGTTCCAAGCCATGAAACTCATTTGGACTCCTAGGACCGATTGGGGTCGGTTTCCTCCACCCTTGCAGCTACTTCCGATGATTCATGGAAAGACACCTGATCAATGCGAATTCGTTTGGCAGCCGGCTCAGCCTGCCCGGGAGACTCCCCTGTACCTGACGTGCAGCCAGCAGCTTGGGGACACCCATCCTGCAAATCACCAAGCCCAGCCCCAGCCCTGTGTGAATCCCCTGTGAACAGGGACAATTGCTGCAGTTTGGAGTTGGCAACCAGGGCTCCCGAATGGCGCGACGAGGGTCCCCAGATGGCCTCCCCTTGCTGGTTATTCTCAGCGTTGCGATTCCAAGTGAATTTCCTCTTCCGAGCCAAGGTATGCTCATTGACCCGAGGCCCCCTATCCAAGCTGATGGTATGTTGGCCATAGCGAGGCGGCTGATCCCCCAACTCCTCCTTCTGGGGGCAGCGGTGACCGGAGTGCCCAATCAATCCACACAGATAGCAGAATTGGGGTAGGCGTTCGAACTTGACCTCCGCTTTGAAGACTCCTTTGCTGGCCTCTTCGTGCTCCGCCGGGACTTTGAACGGCAGCGGCTTTGAGGTATCCACATGGACCCTCACACGAACATAGAGGCCCCCGGAGAATTCCGACTGGTGAATGGCCGCCGAGTCCGCAGGCCCAAGGGAAGCCCCCAACATTGAACCAAGACGCTCCGTACAGCAAGGGTAGGGGATGTTCCATAACTAGACCATGAGGGGGACTCTGAGGAGGGAGTCAGCCAACGAAGCAGACGGAGTCTCCCAGGGAACCAGATGCAGCAAGTACTTTGGGAGGAACCAGGGAGACCTCTTGAGGACCTTGTTGTAGTCTTTCACAGACGAGAAGACCACTTGCACCAAACCCCAGTCCAGAGGGACAATTGAAACAGCATCAGTGCATTGTCACACCCTCATCAGATCCGCTTTCATGGCGTGAAGGGCTGGGCGATGGCCACAGACTCTCCCTACTAGCGTAATCTCTCCACGGGTTGCGCCAACCTGCACATCCGCATCAGAGAACCTGACCACCGCAATCAGAGACGAATTTGGGGAAAGCCGAGAGCTAGGGATTTGCCGGGGGAAACTCAATCGAGTTCGCAGAGATAGTGAGAAGCCTAGGGCCCCTCGCATCCGCATAATATATAATGGCTCCATGCTGGAGATGGCCGCTTCCGGCGCCGCACGACGGCGGAAACCAGGTCGGCAAGGGCGCACGATGCGCAGTAACCGTCCCACAACCAGGAGAGAGGGGAGAGAGGGCCGCAGAGGTTTTTTTATTTTTTTTTTATTTTCAGGGTTTCAGTTATCTTAAACGAGGTGCAAAAATTGAGCGCTCGTTTGCCTGTTCCATAATCCACACTTTGTTCTTCAATTGGCTTTTATTTATTGTGTAGATACGAGCAAGATCAATCAAATCGTCTGTCTGAATAAAATTTCTTAAATCGTGAAATGGGCTTTAGTGCCAAGCCCAAGCCCACCTTCTAAAAATTCTGCCCGACTCGCTAAGCTTTCAACCAGGTTCGCTGTCGCTTCGCCACCAAGACAGAGTGCGGCGGAGGGTTCTATACTTTTATTCGAGACAAAAGAAACCACACTTGTTTTCTCATAAACCTCCGTTAAACCCTAAACAAAAAGCTCGAAGAGAAGAGCTTGTCACAGCTTCGCTTTACAATCCCAACAATGGAGTTCTCCGAAGAAGACTTCACTCGGCTATTGGTCATGGAGCAGGCCCGAAAGACGGCTGAAGCTAACTACGCCAAGAATCCTCTTGACGCCGACGTTCGTGGTTTTCAAGTTTACTTTGAGATTCGTATCTCTTCATCTCTACTTTCGTTTTTCGGTGTAAGGTTTTCTGATGGATCCTTATTTTTTGTTGCAGAACTTGACAAAGTGGGGAGGAGCGCTGCTTCAGTTATGCCAATTGGAGAGAGGTCCCGAAGCAATGTCTCGGATGATAAACGGTATGGACATCTGTATTCCGAAAATCATAATGAACAGGCCCTGTTACTAAACGAATCCTAAAATGCGTTCCTCAGTTGGTTTGGATTTCAGTTGTGGTTGATTTTCGAGCTACCTTGTTTGGATTTGAGCCCCCATTTGCTTTAATTGTAGGTTTATATCTCCATAAATGTGGCTGACACTGTGGTGGTTTTGATTTTCATTGGTTTGTTTTCATTGAAGAGGCTGTGTCCAAATTTGAGGAGGCTTTGGATATAAACCCGTCAAAGCATGAAGCTTTGTGGGGTATGGGGAATGCGGAGACTAATCTCGCATTCCTGATTCCTGATCCGGATCAGGCAGAGGAGCACTTTTTAGCAGCTGCTCAGCTTTATCAACGAGCTCTGGACGAGGTAAACGAAAAACTTGCGAAGGGTTTCGGGCATTTGAAGAGCATATGTCATTGATATGAGTCTAAAGTTTATGAGCTGATGGTATGATTGGGATAATGCAGGCTCCGAATAATCTGATATATCGTCAGTCTTTGATGGAGGTTTCTAAGGTATGCTTTACACATCTTTTTGGGAGTTGGCGATGCCCTGACATAGCTAGGTATCCATTTTACATGTAGGCATAAAAGGCTATAGTAGAGTAGTACGTTGTTGATTTGATCTAAACATGTGATTTGGCAAATATTAGTAAAGATGTCAACTTTTCATTCTTGGTTAAAGTATGGTACCAATTATTTAGCAGATTGCAAAAGATTCCTTGAGCTGGGACTCGAGTCAATGCCATGTCAAAACCTCTGCTTCCGTTACTACTAAGCCAATTGTACAATTAAAGTTAAACTTGCTTAGTGGGTAGCTTTGCACTTAACTTTTGACTTTTGCTGCAGATTTTTTGTACTTATGTTGCTCTTAATTGTTGAATTTAACTCACTAAATCCTTTCCCCCAGGCACCAGCAGTACACAGGCAGGCCTTTGCTGGTGGTCGCCAGACTCTGGGAGATGCCTTTGCTGCTTCTTCAACAACCAAGGTTAGTATGTCTTTTGTTAATGATCTCTTACAAGTTCTTCAATCATGAAGTATTCTCTGTTGATACCTTTTCGTATGAAGCCATTTTCAAGTGTATTTGCTGTGGATAGATAGAAGCTTATATATATTTCTGTTTTAAAGAGAACTGTGATTACTCTTCAAATGAGAACACGAATTCAAGGGACAGTTTGTGGTGTGAGTTTTTTCTTGGTATTTCACTCTTGCATATGGAAGCTACTTAAGCTACATTGACTTGATTTGGTAGGTTTCAAGGCCACTTTGCGGTAAGCTAATCTAGCATTGTTTGGACAATGAATCCATCAATTGAATTGTGTTTTCATTCTTTTTGAACTCAATTTGGGAAATAACGTTCTCCTCATTTTGGATTAGCTCACGATCTACTAGCTTTCTTCTTCGAGTTTTATGTAGTGCAAAGACGTGTTATTCACCAACCTTGAAGACCCGATGAGTTGTGACATAAGAATAATGGGTCTTGAAACATCTTTTTTCAATCCTGTGATAACCTCTCAGTCCAGGACTTAAGTTATAATGTCTTGATTTGGTTGGTTTCATGGAAATTATATGTGAGGAGGTCTTTAGATGGTTCATGTAAGGAAAAGCCAGCTGTTAAAATTAGGGTTAGGTTTTGGCCTGCCCTTTTCTTATTACTACTATTACTGGCACAAAGGTTCATACTTTCATCTTTTCTGGAAGGAAAAGCAAATTAGCCACGTCACATCCTATTGATCTCCTCTGCGCAAGCTGTTTCTTAATTGTGATTCCCTTGGCTTAGCCCTTGTAAACCTCTTAGATGGCTAGGAATTCAATCAAATCTTCCTTGTGCAATATCTTAGCTGCTGAGGAGGTTAACCTTGGCTTTCTTAGTGTAGATTAGATCAGTAAGGTGGATTGGATTGCCTTCTCATGGGTTGATTTGGCAATAACATCATGTTCCTTTTCTATTAGCATCTCCCAGTACTCATATTGCGTTTGAACAGACTCCGTCATCCTTTCAAAAGCAAAATGTTGTGATTGCTCTGTCAAATTTATGCTTGTTTTCCTCCTCTTTTTTTGTTTGTTTGTTGCTCTTGCACACTTAAGCTGCTGAATTTATAATGTCTTGAATTGGTAGCGTTTAAGCTCATATATGTAACAGTTTCATGTGGATAGTTACATTGTGCTCCATATCATGCAATCTACTAGCTTTCTTTCATCTTCAGTTTCATGGCATACAGAGAAGTTTCTCATTCATGTATGACCTTTTCTTTTGCAGGGCTCCAGGAAGAAAAAAGACAGTAAAACCAAAGATTTCATATACGACGCTTGTGGGTGGATCATACTTGCTGCTGGAGTTGCCACTGCATTATCGATGTCTGCAAGGTCCCAAAGCCAGCTTCCTCCTCCTTCACCTTTCTAAGCACACATACTATCCTTGCGAGGTCTGTTTAAACTAGTTAGGTTGTATATGGAATCATTGCAACTCCGATATCCCCAGTTCAAGTTTTATGGCTGAATTTTCTTTGAAAGCAAGAGAAACATTGTCTATGATAGAGGACATGGAGCGTGTAATGAACTTCTTCCAAATCACTTCTGATGTGAGATCGCCTTTCAATCAATCAGTCTTATTTGTATTTGTTTTAGGCTGTGTGTCATTCCCACTTATCATTTGGCAGTGACTTATCAGAAGGCTGATCTGGTATTCACTTCCTGGCCCTGCCAATGGTATTTCGGAAAAGGAAACCAAGTTGGGGGAAAAGGTTCATGTCGTGTCGTGTCTTTGCACAATGAATCAATGATCAGTGCCTTTTCCCCTCATATTATATCGGGCTGGATTTGATTGGGCTCATGTTATATTGTTGGGAAGTGATTTGGCAAAAGAAGATCGACTTTTGTAGTCCATAAATGTGTTTGATAGACCAATTTTTTCATGCTTTGATGACCATGTAGATTTGTTTTTCGAGTTAGGTAATACTTACGGGGGTTCAAGTTGAGACATCGAGATTCAAAACTCTGAATGAAGCCCTTGTTCGTTTATTATTCGTAGTGACGGTTCAGACTTAGCCAGAAAGGAAATTCGCTAATTCTCCTCTCAATGGGTTTTTAGGAGTCATTTGCTTGTTGGATTTGAAAAATGAGGGTTTTGGCCAACAAAAATCTTGGGATTTATGTTGGATTTATTAGATTATGGATTTGAAGAGTCTAATGTTTGCATGATAGATTTGATGATGGATTTGTGATGGATTTGTTAAATAAATAACTAACCATCAGGGATTTGCAAATCCCAAATCAATATGTGGGATTTACAAGTATGTGGGGTCCACGAATTTGGTTCCAAAATAAAGATCAAATCTGTGGGCCCCACGGATTTAGCATCCTTCAACAAACAATGGACTTATGTTAAATCCATCAAGCTTGGGATTTGGGTACCAAATCAATGACTCAAATCCAACAAGCAAACGACTTAATCTTAGATCCTTCAATGTGTAGTCTTTTATCCATATACGAAACAAATAATACAAAGTGGTAAGGCGGTAGACTATTAACTCCTTTTTCAAGACCATATTGATCCGAAATACTTTATTTAATTTTAATTTCTAGTACCTTGTTAATCGTTACCATGGATACCCACCCGAATCTGATCTAATTTGATGAGTAAAATCCGAACCCAAAATTATTTTTAATGGGTAACGGTAAGATACTAATTCAAATATTGCAAGTGAAGGGTGCATATGATTTTCTCTATTCAACTCGAACTCGTCCGATTATACACATGCATATGCATTTCGTTTAAAAATGATCATGATTTTTCTCAACATATTTTATATGTATTACACATAGAATATTTTCATGAAATTATATCGTTTTTACTAATTTTCTTCATTTTCAAAAAATTTTATTTTAATTTCACTTATATAATGTCTGTATATTTGAAATTGTTAACACGTTGGTTGAATTTATAAAGAGAAATTATTATTCATGGTTAACCGTGAATACTCGAAACTCGATTAGATATGAGTATGGTTTTTATATACTCGATTCTTGAGTAAATATAGATATGAATAAAATTTGAAGTATTTTGAATAGACTAATAAATATGCACTATCGATCCATTGCCATGCTTGATGACCAAATTCAACTGATGCCATGTTCTCATCATCAGGATGCTGTTTCCCATAGGCCATATCTTTGATGGTTATAATTAAGCATAATTTTTTTTGTTAATGTATTAATTAATTCTGCATCTTCCCTGATCTGGCTTCCACCATTTGAGATTGGTGGGTATCTCATCTTTCGGATAGGGAAACTTGCTTTCGTCCTTTGCTTTATCCTCAATAATCCCACATTATAACTTAATTAAGACTTGTTGGCACTTCACTGCAAATGAAACGCGTCATCAGGATTGCTAATTCTATTTACTAGTGATGAGATTACTTTTGAGATCTTAATTCTAGTTTTCTTTAAGATGATGGTTGGCTTGACATTATTAGAGGTTTTATTCGATAATTTTATCTTACATTTCAAATAGTATCGACATAATTCGACAAATATAGACACATTACTTAAAACAGTAATTTTTTTAATAAGTATTAGCAATGGTGGAGGTCTCGATAGGGGGCTGACCTGAACTGTGATATTTCGGGGGGGGGGGGGGGGGGGGGGGCTAATGTCTCGTTGATTACTTTATTTCTTAAATTTGTTACGAGTTTTACATGTAATTTTATTTATATTTTAAATCTAAGGGGGCTACTACAATCCATCCTATCTTCAACCTAGCTCCTCCATTAAGTATTAGCTTAGGTGTTGCATTTTATGGTTTGATGATACTCAAATCAAGAATTCATACATAATTATTATGGATCGTCATATGAAATACGATTGTATATCTTTCTAGGTGGATGATACGAGAAAATAATAAAATAGGATTGAGTTAAAAAATCTCAAAATGGAAGATGATGAAAGAACATAAGAGGGCTCCGGGCATGGGCCTCATGTATTATGGTCTTCTCACCAGAGAATGACATACAAAAATTATTTAGGAGTTGAAATCCAAAAAAAAAATAAATAAAAAAATGATGGTCAGACCAAATGAAGCTGTGGGTGTCTTAACCATACTTGTTGAGTTGTCCAAACTAGAATCTCAAAGAACTCTCTCAGACCATCAAAGTAAAACTTCTTTGCAAATCCTCTCCTTTAATTAGAGGTGTAATATTTAGCAAATCTAATTAAAGGACACTCCTAATTATTGGCATTGCCTAAGCCTAGCAATATAGTCTGCAACTATTTTAGTCAACGACACACGTTTCCCTTTCTTTTTGCATATTAGATTTTGCTGACCCATGATTTGCATACTCTTTTTGTAGCAATATCCAACATTCTCCCTTGCAATCAAATGTGGATTTTGATGTATACCACTGAATAGCAAATCCACCATTTCTTTTCTCTCTAGAGTGCTGATATGTGTAGCCCTCTACTAATTAGGAGCAGGCAGATCGATGGAGGAAGAATCCAAACCACAGTATTGTGCTAGTTGGTGGATGATTGCTCATAATTTGAAGAAAATTGGCAAAGGAAAAGGCGATCGATGGAATTTGATAGTGGAAATCCAGGATCTCATCATCTGATATGTGGTAGAGTGTTTTAAGCACTAGCTTTATAAACCGGCTCGTTGTGGAATATTTATATTTGATTATTATTATTTTCATCTTACGTTTGATTCTATCAACTCGTTTAATTTTATTGACAATCCTTCGATCGAGATGGTACATAAAGAAAGAATATATAGATCGAACATTTGGAGAAATATAAAAATGTATCATTAATTTTATTTTCATAATGATAATTAAGTCCTCGGTAAAATGCTATTGGTTAGTTGATTGTCAAGAAAGATAGAGTATAAAAGCTCACTGAAATTCCCTCACAAACCATAGATAGTTTGAAACTAATCTTAAACCTCGCAATCCTACATAAAGGTTCAATGCTCTCCTTTTAGGAACAATATGTCACTAATAAAAAAGAAATGAAGAGTTGTTGATTCAAGTCAACTATATGTTAACAACTCGGCTGAGAGGGGATTATCACAACTTGAGAGAAAACGACAAAATTAGGGTTACCTCCAATATACTAATAGATCCTATCAAAGTAATAAGGAACAAAATTAGACACTCCTTCTTTATCAGTTCCAGTAGCTTGAATAAAGAATCGACCGACCTACTTCAGTAAATCAATCGATGATTCCTCATTTTAAGATAGAATTAGGTTGCGATAGCTTAAAAAACATGAACCTAAAGATCCAATAGCCACCACTCTCCGTTGTACAATAAAATCTTTATCCACTCTATCTTCAATCTCAAGAGATGTTTCAACCAAAAATTGAAATTTTAATTCTCCTTCTGCACCTCCATTTATTGAACTCCATTCTATTCCCCATGGATTGATATCGAAGTTGAAATCTTTTACTTGACCAGTTTAAATCTTCAAGATAAAATCGTTGTGCCAAGAGACCGGAAGATTGATTTTCAAAGGCGGCCTTGTACTGTGAAGTGAAAGGGGCGCAAACTATTGCACGATGAAGGGAATTTCATAGGAAGTTAGAAAGAGATAAGAACAAAGATAAAAAAGTAAAAATTTAAATATAAATTGAAAAATGTAAGGACACAACACGTAGTAATAGAATTAGTTTCTTCCATGTTGGCCAATTTTCAATTTACCTTTAGCGAAAATTAAGGAAAGAGTAGTGATTTTAGAATTGAGAAACTATATAAAACTCTGCTATGAAAATCGCAGTATCAAGCACCATAAAAGTACCTGAATCGCTATTCGTCTCCCTAAAATTTAATTTTGTCGCCCTAAAATGTACCAAATTGACCTTATTACCCTAGCCCCAATTTCAACCTAAATCTTAAACAAAAAATTTCTTTTGCCCTGCCCAGCCGTCGCCGAGCTCACCCGTCCTCTGACCGCTGCTGTCGTTGCCGGATTCTTATCACCGGTCGTCTTCCCTTTTTCCAATCCGAATCATCCCCGCTTCCAACAGCACACCCTGGTCCTCCGCCGTCCGTACGAGCGAGTGGATCAACATGGAGTACCGGCAAGAATGTGGGATTCTGCTCAACTCCCTTCCCCCCTTCCCCTGCCTTCGCTCCCTCTCCAGAAACAGAGCCTGCCGCCTTGAACCCAAAAATGACCTACCACCATCCAGCTCCGTCCGAGCCCCACCGCTTTCTGCGCGACCAGAAGCCGCCATGTCGCCCCGACGCACAACCAGGCGGGTAGCGCGCCACTCATGCTCGTCAGACAGGTCCTGTTCCAACCTCGCCGACGATGGGAACCGCAGGTAAAACCCAGCACTGCGGAGGTGTACTCCCGATTCCATCTTCCGACGATGACTGGGCGCTTTATCAATTAAATTGAGGGAAAGAATATGCTTTAATTGGCTAGGGTCAATTATCAATTAACGATGACTGGGGCTTTATCAATTATTGAGGGAAAGAATTGGCTTTAATCGACTAGGATCAATTATCAATTATTGGCAGCGGCGACCGGAGCAGAATCCGGTCTTGGGATGGCCGGCATCACTCTTCAATTGACGTGGGTTAGAAATTCGGGTAGAGGGCAAATTTGTCTATTTAAAAATTTGGGGCGGTAAAATTTCAAATTATAGGGCGACGAATAGCAATGCCCTAAAAATATATATGGTAGAC